TAAAGTTGTGCAATCCCTGTTAAGTATGTAATTGGTTTAATTGTCACTGAAATGGGCTTGCCTGTGTGTTGGTGAAAATATTTAACATGGGGAGAGTCCACTGAAGCTAAAGAGCAGCAAGAAGAGCTCTCTCTGAGCTTTAACTAGTTGACAATTAGCTATTGTTGTTTCCTGCTAGCTAACATGTGAGGGAGTAACCTTAGATCAGGTGGCAAAGGTATTTGGTTGCAAATCTCCATTTTGAAGGGAGTTGCCCTGAAAGTCTTTTGCATCCCAGGCTTCACGTAGTAAGGATGTAAATGAAGCTCTCAAGGAAAACAGCTCCAGGCAAAATGAATGACGTTAAAGGGAGAGAGAGAGAGAGACCTTTGCTTATAGATCTGTTTGGCTTATTTAATATTTTCTAAGATGCTGAGCTGATGCTGGACAACACGAGATATTGTATGGATATTTTTGGTGCTTTAATTTTGTTTTAAAGGAAATTCTGCAAGTAAAATTTTGAATAATCTTTGTATGGGACTGGACAATGATTATTCCAAAAGGACTCAGTTCTTACGCTTCCATTCACTTCAAACTGCGCAATATTAATATCTGCAATAGTCCTCCTATAAGAAATTATGGCAGGATTTTCTTTCTTTGTGACTGAGCCTGCCATTGAGCCAACCTTTCAAAGCTAACCTTCAAATCTCCTACCGAGACTTCAGAGGTGTAATCTCAACAAACATGTATTAATTTTATGTGAAACTCAGAACCCTTGGGTACTGCAGGGTCCCCAAAGCTAGCTGGCTGTCATTCTGCCACCAGCCTAGCTCTGTCAGGAGAGAGAGTCAACTATTAAATGCTATATCTACTTCACTACTGAGAAAGAAGAGGAGGTAAACTATAGTTCCCCAGGTAGCTGCTGGAGTAGAGTACCGCATCAATCAACCTTGTAAAAATAAACTGATTGACACTGAAGCCTGCCGGGTGACTAATAGGAGAGCTAGCAGTTCAGAACCTTAAGGACATTCTGAACAGTACCAGAGAATTAATCCCAGCTTTTCTCCTTGTAAAATAAATTCAGCCAACCCTGAAGTCTGCCCCATAGGTTAAATGAAAAGCCAGACTGCCAAAGGCTGTTTCACCAGATGCAGAACTGTGGTGCGGTGGGTGGTTGGGGAAATAAAATAATATCTCCAGAGCATTACTCTCAGACATTTACAAAAAAATGCCACTTTTAAGACAATTTGAGAATTGTGTGCAGGAGTGCCGCTGGGAAGAGGGGAACCCGGTTTATTATTTTACCCCAGAATTTCCAGCTGTCATATCTTGGGGCTGTTGATGTAGTTTAACAACACCCAAGTACTCTTTTCTTCAGTGGCGATCAGTCTGAAAAGTAGAGAGCAGCACTCTTGTTTATCTGTCAAAGGGTCACATGCAGTGGCTTTTTCTAGAAAAATAGGTGCCAGTACTCACCATGTTACAGTAAGCGTCACACTTTTTAACCCCCCCCCCAAAAAAGAGGTGTCGGTACTGTGTAGCCTTGAGTACCCCCTGAAAAGAAAGCACTGGTCATGTTGCTTTGATGCCATTGGTCAAGTGTTACTAAACACTTTAAGCATCTCCTCTGGAGATAGAGATGGATAGCAAAGGAGAAAGCTTGTTATATAAAAATTGGAAATGAATAATATTTGCTATGTGATCTGAATATATCTCTTGGAGGTAGAGAGGAAGAAATTCAATTCACCTTGCATTTTAAGGCAAATTTACCTCAATCGCCATTTCTGAAACAATACATGAACCAAACCACAATTATCCTTTGAAACTGACAGGTTTTTTGTTTTTTTGTTTTTAAAAACAAATTACAGTGTTGTTTTCCAGCCAAGCAATGTGTACAAAAATACATGTCCAATGGTAAATTGTGCATATAAGTGCACGTGTCGGTGAAAATTACCCTAATAGAATGCAGTTCTGTATGTAATGTATGGAGACCACCATATTGGTTTTCCCTGTCTCACATAACAAATGTGTAGCAGACTCATTGTTCCCTCACTGATTATGTAAACTATCAAACTTATCCAGATTTGCATTCTCAGTTTTTCTCATGTCAATACACCTGTCTATTTAAACTCTCCTATTTAACCTGCATGAGTTGGATAACCATCGAGTTACTCAGATGAAGGTGCTTGAACCATAATTAATTTTGGAGCACCTGCTTTAAAAAAAGGAATCACAAAACAAGTGAGCATATAGTTTCAACTTTTGTCTGCATCCAGTTTATAGATTCTCATTCCGAATACAGTGGTACCTCGGGTTACAGACGCTTCAGGTTACAGACTCTGCTAACCCAGAAATAGTACCTTGGGTTAAGAACTTTGCTTCAGAATGAGAACAGAAATTGAGCGACAGTAGCAGCGGAAGGCCCCATTAGCTAAAGTGGTACCTCAGATTAAGAACAGTTTAAGGTTAAGAACGGACCACCAGAATGAATTAGGTTCTTAACCTGAGGTACCACTGTATTAATTTGAGAACAGTTTGGGTTCATTTTAGTGCCAAAATCTGCCCACTAATTTCTTTAGTCACTTTCTCACATGGCAAAAGATGCCTCCATTTTTCTGCCTCATTTTCAGGACACTTAAGAATTTCTTTAGAATTTTGGTGGCTGTGCAGTTTTGAGCTCACCTTAGTGTTGTAAGCTCACTACGGGTGTCATTTCTTTCCAGTAAACATTGCTCTAACATTCCGCAGCCTCCCTGGCTGCCTCTGCTTCCTGCTCTGGAAAACGCCCCTTGGAGAAGTCAACTTGCGATGTCCTCCCCTGGGAAAGGTGCAAATGGAGATCATTTTATAGAATTAATTTATAGAATGACAAAAAGGGCACTCATAGAACCAATTTGCCACCTCAGAAGGAAGGTACACATACCAGAAGAAAATATGCACCCCAGCTGTGAAAATTTCACTGAAATTTTCTCTCCCCTTTGGTAATTTTCAAATGCAATTTCATTTCTCATCAAGTGATGGAAAATGGTCAAAGAAGAAGGGGGGGAAATGCAGGATAAATTTCCGGCACAGCACTAGGTCATTCACACGATCGATGGAAGTGAGATGGAATAATTTGTACGGTTTTTTTCCCTCTCATTCTTTTCAACCTCCAGGGAGTGATTTTTCCCTTTCCTTCTTTTAACATCCCTGTTGATAATCCTGCAGCCTTGCTCAGTAATAACCTCTCCCAGGAAAAGGGGGGGGTGGAATTTGCAATACCCCCATGACTACTGTATGCCAAATTTGCCCTTCAAGCTTAGCTGTGACTTTGTTTTAAGCCATTATAAGGGGATAGACCTCCCAAAGCAATGCCAGTGTGGTACTTTTTGCATCCCTCATATGGATGATCATTAATGCTCATAAAAGAAAGACAAGGACAACATTTCATCAGCCGCCCTTGCTCAGTGTATGACCTGGATATTATAAGAGAACGGTTTTGCTCCTTCAGCTATAAGGAACCTGCCAGGAAGCACCATGCTAGGGGGCATTCAATATGCAAAGGCCACAAGGGGTTTCACTTAGCTTAATAAGAACAGGAACTAATAAACCTACAGAGTAGAGATGAAATGAAACCGGGATTAAACAGGTAGCTCTGAATAAAAATAATAAACCCTACGCCTTCTAATCTCGGGAGAGAAATGGGAAAAGTCAGAGGACTACCGTGTCAGGGGCAACACAACATGGCAATAACCTTATTTATCTGTTTTGATCATCAGCTTACATATCCACAGTACCTGGGATAAGGTAAAAGCAATTGTTGTATGAAATAGATTGGCTGTGCGAGGGAAAACACAAATTCATTACCAAAAGTAGTTACAAAGAAGTGTAATAATTTCACACAAATCCATTCCAAAAAATGTCAAAAGCTACTTTTAAGTTCCTTATACTCAACTTGACCGTTTGCAATTGTTCTGCTAGTTCCAGTAGTGCAAGCTTTTGCACAACAGGCTTCTGCTAGAGCAACTGTTAACATTAGAGTGCTACATCAGGCATAAAACTTGGCCTTCCGCTAACACAACAGTCCTTGGACTCAGCTACATTTGTAAAGATAAAGCGTTTTCTAAGCGTTATAACACTGTGACACCTGATGGTGCTATGGAGTTCCGTCTTTTGCCAATGGGATTTCCCTGTGTGATGTTCACAACGCGTTTAACTTCTTGATCTGTCGAGATCCAGCCCTCGTATTGGCAGAAGGAGAACTCTCGATACAACGCCCTGTTACATGAGCAGCAGTAAACGAGAGCATCCATCAGCTTTAGTAATTTGTGTCATTTTGTTTAAGAAAAGTGAATCGCATGGAGCACTGAAAATTAGGGGTATATGTGTGTGGAGGGGAAAGTATTATCGTCTTAAGAAGAACATATCCAGCCTTTTACTATAAAAGCCAAAGTGTGCAGAACCTTCTTCATCGCTTTGTAGCACCCCCATTGTCTGCTTGCCCCTCATGTGGAACTGAAAGGAAGGCTGCTTATGCAGGAGGACAAAAAGAGGTGTAATGAATCATGAAATGAGCCCATTTTGTTCAATAGGGCCCACTCTCAGCTTTCTTTCCACACGGGAAAAGAGCCATTCAGACCCAAAATGGAACACAGAATCCGTGCATCGAGAAAAGCCCAGGGGGAGCAGGACATAGGTGATCAAAACTCTTTTTGTGTCCCCGCCAAATATATTGCAATTCAATTAAACAATATGCGTGTCTGAACATTTGCTTAATAAAAGCAAGGGTGGAATAGAGCAGCCAAAACGTTTAATTTTTTCTGTCTCCTTCTTCTGCCTGAAATTGGCATTCTTGTGAAGAAAAACGCCACCTCTCTCCGCTGTCTCAGGAATCATTGCTTCAGGTCCTTCTGAACCGAAAGAAAACATAGGAAGCTGCCTTATACCAGGTTAGATCATTGGTGTATCTGGCTCAGTATTGTCTACACTGATTGGCAGTAGCTCTCTAGGGTTTCAGACAGCAGATATTTCTAGTCCTTACCTGGTGATACCAGGGATTTAACCTGTGACTTCCTGCATGGAAGACAGATTCTCTACCAGTGAGCTATGGCTCTTTGGATGTGCTGTTGTAAGGATTGCTAGGACAATAGCTGGGAAGCAACATTTGAAACTTGCTATATGAGTTCTATTTGACCCATCCTTTCTCCAGCAAACATTGTGTACCAAGTGGTTGGTTGGGTCATTTCAGCCTTGGTACACAATGTTTGCTGGAGAAAGGATATATATATATTCTAGGCTGCCCTATTCCCCTAGATCTCAGGGCGGTTCACAACATAAAATTACAATATAAAAAACACAGAATACATAATAAAACCAAAAATAAAAACAAAAACAAAGACAAGCCAATGATTCCCCCTTCCACAACACATTTATAAGGGCATTGGATAATGATGATGATGATGATGATATTTATTTATTTATACATACATACATACCCAGCCCATCTGGCTGGGTTTCCCCAGCCACTCTAGGCAGCTCACAACAGAATAATAATAATAATAATAATAATAATAAAGCAACAAAACATCAAACATTAAAAACTTCCCTAAACAGGCCTGCCTTTACATGTCTTCTAAAAGTCAGATAGTTGTTTATTTCCTTCACATCTGATGGGAGGCCATTCCACAGGGCGGGCGCCACTACTGAGAAGGCCCTCTGCCTGGTTCCCTGTATCTCCACTTTTCGCAGTGAGGGAACCACCAGAAGGCCGTCGGAGCTGGACCTCAGTGTCCGGGCTGAACAATGGGGGTGGAGACGCTCCTTCAGGTATACTGTAAATCTGAGAGCCAGTGTCAGCTGAAAGCCAGTGTGGCATAATGGTTAAAGTGTTGGACGAGGATCTGGGAGAGCAGGGTTCAAATCCTCACTCAGTCATTGAAGCTCACTGGCTGACCCTGGACCAGTCACCATCTCTTAGTCTAACCCACCTCACAGGATTGTTGTGTGGATGAAATGGGGTAGAGGAGAACCTTGTAAGTTGCATTGAGCTCCTTGGAAGATAAAGGAGGCATAGAAATGTAAAAAAATAGTAATAAAACAATCAGCCAAAGGCGTGGTTAAAGAGGAACTTTCCCCCCTCTCATATCTAAAGTGCAGTCATGCCATTAAACTCATGACCTGCTTATGTCCTTCCTCAGAGTTGATGTAGCTTCACTTTTTGCATTGGCAAGAAACTCCAGATTGTTTGGGGTGCTGATTTTATCCATTGTGCTCTTGTTCTCCCCATCATTTCACTCTCTCTGGTTTTGTCCCAGTAAAATTGTCCCAAAACGCCCTCTTTCACTTTTGCTAACTTAATTAAGCCCTGCTTAGGGAAGCTTTTAATGTTTGATGCATTACTGTATTTTAATATTTTGTTGGAAGCCGCCCACAGTGGCAAGGTATAAATAAATTATTATTATTATTATTATTATTATTATAAGGTGGAATGTCCTATCAAGTTAACCAAGCAGGGACCGCTCAAAGCAAGACAATCACAAATCTAGAAACTGCTATTGGAACTGTGGTCAGTATTACCTGAGTCATCCTTGTGATCGCAATTGCAAACCTGGACCTTTTCCTCCCTACCTTAATTGGCCTGATCCAACTTTGAAGAGACGGTTAGTCATTTTCATTATGAAAGGGCAATTTAATGTTCTGCTGAAAAATTCAAAGATTATCCCTGCTATTTCCCCACAGCTGCCCACATAAACGCTGGCTTTCTGTATGTTTCTCACCCTTAGCTACTTGGAAGTAGATGTTCTGTCTGAAGAAAAACGTTATCTGTAAGGAAGTTGTTCCATAACCCTTGTTCATCATCATTCCCCATCACACAAGTGCCAATGAGTGTGTTTTTGCACCTAGCGCTAGGCAATTGTTGCTGAAAAGATTGGATTGTTCTTCTCCTTCCTGTGAAATTGGGCGAAAATGGTGCAACACCCGAAACAAGTGCCCCTCTCTGTTTTCTTCCATGGATTTGTAATAATTGTTTGGAACATGTGTTATTCAGAACAGCTGTCCGTATCTGCAGGTATGTGCTTTTTGTCCCTCCCCCCCAAATGGGGTCGATTACATGCAGCAAAGGCACTCGACCCCCAAGCCACAGCCTTAGCACATATTTACAACCACAACTGGTTCAGGACCAGGGTAGAAGTCAATCTTTGCCGGCTTCCATGCCTGTCATCAGCATTCACACAGCTGTTTCAGCAGCCCAGTGAAAATCATTTCGATACTGAGAATGGCTCTTAAGTCACAATAACTTGTTAGCTCCTACACAACATTGCGAGGTGGGCAGAAAAATGAGCAGAAATGCTGGTGCCCAGGAAATGACTTTACACAAATTGCTGTGGAAATGTGAAGGCCTAAACACAAAACTGGGAAAAAACAATAAACTGTGAGATACTGAAATTGAAAGTTTCCTCCATCCCTACTCCCTTTTTAGGGAAGCTTTTTGTTATGTACTGAAGTTCTCACCCTGGGCCAGCAGGGGGATACTGTAGATAGTTTTCACTCTGGTCCACATATGCAAATAAGGGATTGAAAGTGACATTCAGTGATTGGATAGTTACAGAAAATGGTTACTGTTGCGTTCTAGTGGAGTTCTATATAAGCAGGCTGGCTGAACCCTTCAGTTCAGTTCTGTTCTGGCCTGTGAATAAACAAGAGCTGTTTGAAGAATCACTGTGTCGTCTGATATGTTCACCCACAACTTAACACTTTTAATGTTTGATGCATTACTGTATTTTAATATTTTGTTGGAAGCCGCCCAGAGTGGCTGGGGAAACCCAGCCAGTTGGGCGGGGTATACATAATAAATTATGATGATGATGATGATGATGACAGAACTTTGCACTGTGCTCATGGGTGCTGGGACAGAAGTGAGGGGTGAGACTGCTCAGCATTCTTTGCTCAGATGTTGATGTACGTGAAAACAAATAACACCCAAATAGGGCTTAAGTTTATGTTTCTTGCACCTGACTCTGGCTGGGGGCGGATCTCAGAGTTCTGGTGGATCCCTGAAACCTGGTGTCTACCCACCCTAGTATTTTGATTATTTTACTTTTGCCACCATATATTCTGCTTAAGACACCAGACATATCTTGGAACATACTGGGTTCCATTATGTTGATTAGAATCTTTACCTCTGCCACAGATCCACACAGAAAATAAGAATCCCAACTGTAAAGCCTTCCAATTGCTGGCAGAGCAGCCCGTTAGAATCAGAACTTAATAAAAAAATCCTGCACAGTTTTCGGTGAACATTTTCATCAAGTGCTAAGAACCACCAGCCCTTGGGGCCCAGTTTTTCATCCCTTCCCGCGAAAAGCTTTGTTCATTTGCATTGAACTCACTTGCCCTATGTTTTATAATCATGAAGCTATGTAGCATTGTGATGTCATCTGACTCGGTGGGAACCACGCACATTTGACTAATCCAGAAAAAGGAGAAGCATGGGTGGGTGGGAGCAAGAAAGCAGGGGGGAAACAATGCGGCTGAGCAAGACTGAAACCTGCTTAGGTATATGGGACGTGTCTTAACAGCCTTGCAGTTAAGAAGCTACCTTAACAAACTTGCTAATTTCTAACCCCAGTGTGGAACTGGGACAATATTCAGCACTTAAGGAGTGACTAATCCATACTGTGATCTTGTGTGTGCATGCTATGCAAAAACCCAGAAATGCACAGTGAATTTGGTGGTGTCAAACAACTGTAATGCTGCGTGCTATTTCTTCACTTAAGATGTGATGTGCTGCAAAGGAAAATAAAAATGGAGTGCAAATGTGTGCTTGGCAGCGGCGCTGAAGCCCTTTTCCAATCTAGCCTTAACTTCAGCAACTGCATTTATGCATGCTGAAATGTGGTGACAGTATTTCATTTCCTTTGGTATAAATTAGAGCAGCTCCTCTGAAGTCTATGAAATGGCTCGAGATTTATGCCGGTGTCATTAAAGGCACAACTGGCCCATTATGATTTCATTATGGTGATGCATGTGGTGCTGTAGGAGACCCAATTAAAAACTATCACTGCTTATAGGCTAAAAAGACAAATGTGTATAAGATTTACCAGGTTGCTCCAAGGAATATGGTAACTCGGAAGGTGGTAAAAGTTCATATTGTGTTTTCTTCCCCCACTTTGGTTGCAATTTCCTCTCTCTGCAGTAGCCAGATCTGCTCAGGAGACGAAAAAGGGTACACCTGATGAAATTTACACAATTTATTAAAGGCACAGAAGCCAATTTTGGGTGAGTTCATAGCTCCCTAGAGATGGGGTGGGGGATTTAATTCAGATTGCAAATTTTTTTAAAAAAATCACTTCTGAAACAAATTATGAACCAAAACAGTCATTTTTCAGGATTCGCACTTCTCCGAATCTTGTGATGTAACTCCCCACCCAAAGTAATGTGTAAAAAAGAGAGCACATGCTTGAGTAATGTGTGCATTAAAAAGTATATATTAGTGAAAATAACATACAAGCATGCATTATTGTAGGGGAAATGGTTTTGCAAAAAAGAAGAAGAATTTTTTTTTGCAGACTTGCATACTAGCATGCATATATTAGGAGAAAGTTACACCAAAATGTTGGTGAATTGCTGCAAGAACAGTTGTTTTTAATGCAAGCTGAAGTGGAAATGTAGAGAACTGAAAAAAGGACTGAAGCAACAGAGAGAAACTTAAACTGACAGATTTGCCTGTCCCTGGATAGAGCATGTGCCCTGCATGCAAAAGGTCTCCAATCCAATCCCAGTTAAAAAGGGAGAGATCTGTACCAGACACCCTGCTACCATTTAGAGGAGGCAAGCTGGGCTAGGTGGCCAAATCAATCTGTGTTGGCTTCAGACAGCTTCCTATGTCCTTGTTTGCCATTGTTTGGGCTATTGTGGCAAAAGAATAAGAAGAAGTCTTCATCCAGCATCACTAATTCCTGAATCCACTGGAGCGTCCATGACTTTAATAGTTGGATGGAACAAGAGAAACTCAGAAGTTTCTCAATTCAAAATGCTCCAGTTGTGGTGAGGATATAATCCTACAAACACTTTATCCTTCAATGTGTGACATTTTAGTGTATTTTTGGTT